GGAGAGGGGAACAGAGGAGGAAGGAGGCAAAGGGCACTGGAGGAGAGGCACGCAGCACGAGGAGGAGGGGAGCGGAGGAGCACAAGCGGTGAGAGGGACGTCAAAAGGGGGGCGAACAGATTCACGGCGGGAAGCAGGACGGGCTCCCGCGTTACACGTGGTGGAGAATGTGGGCAATGAACTCTAGATAAAAGCGCACAACCCCCAAAACAACTCACCAAAAAAAAAAAAAAAAAAATTACAGAAGAGAATATTTAAATATCTGAAAGAAAAGGGTGAAGTGAAAATATTTGGGTTTGGGGGTCTTAACAAGGAAATCAAAACAACACAAAACTAAAATTTCTCAAATCCAACTTTTTTGTAGAAAAACGTTGAATGAAAGCACTGCATTGAAAGAGCCCTTTCCCCCAGGAGAAAATCACTTTTTTCACTTAACTCCTCCCCCCCAATATTTTAGACTTAGCTCAACCTGAATTTGACATTGTCTGATTAACTATGGGTATGTCTATACTGCAAAGTTTATTCGAAATAACAGTCGTTATTTCGAATTAACTTTAAAATTAATTTTAAAATTAATTCAAAATAGCGGAGCGCTTAATTTGAATTTGATAAACCTCGTTCTACAAGGAGCAACGCCAAATTTGAATAGCTATTTCGAATTAAGTGCTGTGTAGACACTTAATTTGAAATAGGAGGCTTCCAGTCCTTCCCAGGGAGCCCTGGTGGCCACTCTGGGCACAACCAGGAAAACTTACTCTCCTTTCCCCCAGCCCTGGAGCCATTAAAGGGGTAGACCCTGGCCACAGTACCCGTGCCAGCTCCAAGCCTGCCAGCCCAGAGTCAGCAGTAGCCACCGAGGCCCCCGACCCCCTGGCCCCAAAATATGAGCCAGCAAGTCACTGGCACCCAGCCCTTCACCACTCCCCAGGAGCAGTCTGCCAGCTCCCAGGAACCTGACAGAGGCTGGAGAAGGCAGGTGCCTTCCTGGTCCAGGGTGGAGATCATGGACCTTATTCAGGTTTGGGGGGGATGCCCCCAACAACCGAGATCTCCGCACTAAACGGAGGAACACAGCCATCTATGTCAGGATAGCTGTCAGCCTGGCCAGCAAAGGCCACATGTGAACCCAGGAGCAGGTTTGCATGAAAATCATGTTGGTCCAGCGAGACCCCCAACCCTGGGCCCTGAGCTTCCCCTCCCCCTTCTTCCCCTTGCTTCCCCCTTCTAGCTCCCTCCTCCCAGGTTTCCCT